TCTCTCCAACACAGACCTCGGCGTGACTTCCATATTGAATTTCAGGATTTCAGCTCTATACCTTCACCCAATACCCAATTTTATACTATTTAGTACCAAATTGTACCATTTTTTAATTTTCTTACACATTTCAAAAATCTACTTCAATTCTCAAACCTACCACCAACATCGAATCCAATACCAAAGCTTAGAAATTCCAGCTCCATCCATTCACCTAATACATGACAGTTCGCAAACTTAGAACACATTTCCAAAACGAGTAATTTCCAGTCTTGATCCTCATACCAAATTTCAAGTTTGTAGCTTTATTTAATATAGGTTCATATAATACCAAATGTTACGATTTTATAAGTTTAGTACCATTTTATAACTCTTCGTTACCTCAAGTTTCAAATTTCCAAAAATCCATTAATACATCTATCCTACACTATATCAGTGACTCTCATTCCGTTTTTCCATTCAATTTGTTAGTACTCTTCGCATCTTTTAAGTATTATATACACTTACTACCCTTATATTATAATTTAATACCAAAATGAAAAATTAAAAATCCATTTTTTTATAATTTTGTATAATATATAAAGTTATCAATTATCAAAAAAAAAAAAAAAAAAATAAATAAATAAATAAATAAATAAATAAAAATACACGGCATATTTGTTTATCTGCCAGATATGAAAAAACACGAATCTACAAATTAATCAATTCTAATCATTGTAGGTGCTCGTTGCAATAAGATCAATCAAAATAATTAATTAATTATCCCAGCACTCCCAACAAAACAGAAATTCCAATACAATAGAGTTGCTAAGAAATAAATTAATTGAACAATTGAAATGATGCACAACACGTGCTAAGTAAAAAATGTCTACAAGGTCTATTTGTCATACAAATACATGGGTGATTTCCAAAATGCATTTTTTAATTTGATGATGTCGTCTGCATACCAATAACGATGCTCCTTAAATTTACTGCTTCATTTAAAAATCAATTAAAAAAAAAATTCTCTATATAACACTGAACAGTTCAAATAATGCATTTTATTCTTCACATGTAGATGAACGTAGATCGACGATGGCAACAGATTTGGTTTAGATCAAATTTTAAATGGATACTTTAATATGTGCCTAAAACCATACAGTGAAAAAGGACGACTTAAAAAAGGAAAGTGACAAAAACATAAAATATCTAATATTTTAATCGCAAGACTGTTACAATCGAAATGAATCACATCCCTTTGTTTGTTTTGCTAAAATAGTTCCCACGTTTCAAATATACTTCCGCTTTTTTTGTTTGTAACACCGCATTGATTATTCACCGCGAGTATTTCAAACATAATTGACACCTAAACTGTTAGTTTTCGTGTTGCGCCAAACATAATGTTGGAATATTAATGACTTTTTTTACGCATTTAATTATGGAGATATGTTCCACTCACACTTTGGTATTAGCATTGACTTCATTCATAGACTCATTTATGATCTGTAGGGTTTCATGTATTTGCATTAAAGTTTATTAAGTGTAATTTTGCTTATAAAACTGAAAAATTTATATATCCTTTTCCTTGGAATATCTTCAATAGAAAACTGAAAAAAAACCCTTTATAGCTGCTATAAAAATTAAAAAAAATTAAAAAAAAATAAAAATTAAAAAAATTAAAAAAATCCTTTAAAATAACTTCGAAATTATTTAAAACATTCCAAGGTTATAACGGTCATCATAAATAACGTTAAGGAGATGATTTTGAGTAGCATTTAATAACAGTTTGAAAATTTCCCCGCCTATAACTCTGAAACTTTCACAATTATTTTTAATTTCATAGCTTTGATACTCCATTATGAATATATTGAACTTGAACACACTTATGTATATGAAACACCTACAAGTATCCTTTAAAGAATAGATCCGATGGACCCTCAGAGAGGCCTACTTTAATTAATATTTAATATGCATTCGCCCAAAGCTCTGTGTCCCCTTAAAATAGTTTTATAAATCCAATGTTTTATACTCTAATAGACCTCTTAAAAAAAGATTCCTTTTTTTTTGCTTGGAGAGAACCGAAAAACAATTTCAAAAGTAATCTGTTCAAACTTATAGCTCTGAAAAAGGTTGCAAAGAAATTTAAAATAATCTGAAAACGTTAACAAATAATTTAAAAAATTCGACGATTTGGCTCAGACAGGTCTTAAAAATTGAAATATTCCAATCTTATAGCTTTGGGAGTAATTCAAAAATAAATTTATAAGTCTGTCATTTATAAAATTTAAGCTAAAATACTTTTCGAAAATAATTTATAAAGTAAATCCAGCGATAACTCTTGGAATAAATTTGAAGGGTCCTTAGAAGTCTTCACAAATAGTGCTTAAAACGTTATGATTATAAATCTGAGACAAGTATAAAAATAAAAAAAAAAAATAGCTCCCAGGAACATTCAAAAATAATTTTTGAGAGGACTACTACATATTGGAAAGCCTTTTTGAGAAGGAAGTTCCAAAAGTAGTTGTCTTATATCAGATCGGAGTATATTTAGAATATTTACGAACATTTTTCAATTCAAATGTATATGAAAAATACATATGCAAAAGTAATGAAAGAAAGCAAAGGCTATAGTCGTGAGCGGCTGACCATGTGATACACTGCAACACAATAATATGCTACAAGTCCCTTAGGTCCAAATCCATTTTGATAGATTTCGTTTTTGAAATAATTGAGCAAAATTGTAAGTCAAATTGATAAAAAATACGACAAAAAATATAACAAAAAATATTCACTTTTTTATTGACGTATTTTTACGTGATTTTTTCTTTTTCTGGCAAGAGGCTATTCCGAATTGGTGAGAATTGTAAAAATCAGTCCAATCATGTATACTGTACCTATTTCGCTATATTTTCAATATTTCGCCTATCAGCATCACATGGTGGTCAGAAGTGAGCTTTAAATGCATTTGTGTCGTCGGTGACTAAAAATATTAGCGGTTTTGTGAAAATTTTCGTATTTTTTACATAGAAGTTATATATTATTTTAAACGCTAAATATTTTCCGATGACCATCCAAATGGTAGGCTTCTGCCCAGCTCTAACTCCATGCAATTCGTTTATAATTTTAGAGTAACTGCCAAGTGGTGAAATTTTTCTGGTTGGTCCATTTCAACGTAAATATTTTGCTATCACCTCTAAACATAATTGTCTTCTATTCTCCGAAATAATTTTTACGGCTGTTATGGCGGCCCACTCCATCACCATGGTCGGCGCTTGAGTTCTGCTGGCCAACCGAAGGTGCACATTTTCAGCTGACCTCTTTGTTTACCAACTGCTGGACAAAGAAATGTTTTATCATCGGAGGAAACCAAATTCGGCAGCTCACCACTTTCGGCCAAGCGAAGCAACTCTTTAGCTTAAGTCTATTTTCTTTCTGTAGTGGTGTAAGTTTTTGTACTTTTTGGAATTTTAATGGCTTTACCCCGAGCTTATTTTTTAATATTTCCCGAATGAAATATCACGATATGTTCAGCTCACGAGCCATTTTTCGGTCACTGGGTTTTGATCGAGTCGCTTCTTTACTTTTTGAACCATTTTCTTCCGTCCACTTCCTTGACGTCGAGCTACACTACCAGTATCACGGTAACGAGCGATGGTACGAGAAACAAAAGATTTATTCACATTTAAATACTAGAGTGCTCTAACGATAGCCAATTGTGATTTTCCAGCCAAATATAAAGAAATCCCTCTACCACCACGAATAACTTTTTTGTGGAAAATGCTTACCAAAATGCTTTTGTACGCTTGTAAACAATATAATGAGCTGTCACTGGAATAATTTTAATAGCTGTCGGATGAGTGGCTTAGAAATGACAGTAGTCTGAAGTTGGTTGCAGTTTTTCATATCACCCTCTATAGGAAGTAGTCGATATAGTCCAAATTTGGCACGTCAAAATATTTATATTATATTTATTTAGGTCCAATACAAAACGGGCTATATAGACCCATTCCTTCGGAACATACTCCATATACGGCAAACAATTTGAATAATCATAACTCAAGGTTGGGAGTATACACCTGTCGGCAAAACCGACTGACACTATTTTATTTGTTTTTTAGTACCGACAGACGCCTTTGAAAGGATAGAGAGTGCCTGAAATGCAGATTCCAAAAAGAAAGAAAAAAATAAAGATAATTTTGGGATTTCAAACAAGAGAATATGAAAAGTACTTAATATATCGTAATTCAGGTAGTGAGCGAGAAGAAAGATCTGCAATTCTGTTAAGTCTATTAAAAATAAGGTTGATGAATCTAAAGTCCTTAAAATCCTCACTTCGGTAAAGGATAACAACGCCCACTAAAATTACGCCATTGTAATTTAATTAATAACATATATGTCTGAATGTTGTGCACAAATGTAGCTACAAATGAATATTAGGACTACCTATCCAAGGGACAAACTATGAACTTGGTCCCTTTTCTCCCCTGCCTACCGCTGTGATGTAGGTTACAATTTATATATTTTTCGGTCTACAAAGTAGTCTTAAGCTCGATTTTACATTCTATGTTCTCCCAAATTATTCAAAATGCAATTCATTTGATTTTGATGAATCATTCGATAAAATTCGTTTCGCTGTCGATTGGGAAATTTGCTCCAATCATCTATACGGGATTTTCGATATTTTTGTGCTGCCAGCCAATTGCTGGGACGTGTCACGTTTGTTATAATTACTACTCACAATTTTTTTTAAATTTGATTTTTGTTTGCAATTGCTTCCCTTTGGTTGCTGATTTGGGCAAGGGATTTTCCCACACACTACCATATCGATGGAATATCGACAAAACGAAGTAAAAAATTGAAGCTCATCGCCACCTCACTCACTGACCACCCAAATGTAGTCAGCAATATCGTACATTTGGCGGCGAGAACCAATTAATATTTAAATTCTTAATGAGTAGCGAAAAAAAATAGAATTTAAACGCTCACAAAAAAAACACATTTGGCAGACGACGTTCGGTATAAATGCCAAGTGTAAGTGTTCCGCCAATAGTAATTGTAATTTGAACATGACCGAAGCAAGTAACAAACGAAATTGTCGAATGGCGGCCAACAGGAAGATGTGGTCGAAAGCAGTCATGATGATAGCGCTGATATTGGCTACAAATCAAGCGGGTGAGTTGGAGATGAAATGTTAGCTGGAGGGGGTGGGGTGAATGACCACAAAAGATGTTAATTGCACATTGAATTTCAGTGTTGGCTGGTGGTTATGGCGGTGCTGGGAGTTTTGCAACAGCTTCGGTTTCAGCTTCTGCGGGTGCTGTTGCGGGGGGAGGTGGTGGCAGTTATTCTGGTGTAGGTGCTGGTGGTGGCAGTTACTCAGGAGGAGTTGGTAGTGGGAGTTACTCTGGCGGAGGTGATGGAAGTTATGCTGGAAATGGTGGCACCTTAACCACAATTGTGCCTGGTGTCGTTCATGGCAGCATCAATTTAGAAAAGAACGTCGACTTGGAAGCCCTGGAAGATGGTATCTCGGATGTTTTTGGTGGTATATTAAGTGAGGTTGTCCATGGCCTGCATTCGTCTGTACATGGTGGATTAGTGGGCAGCAGCAATTCCGGTAAAGTACCCCATGGATCTGGAAATGGTGTTGTGATATCGGTAAATGAAGGTGAACATGGCGCCACCATTGAGACAAGTATTGGTGTTAATGGCGGGGGAGGTATTGTTGTGGGAACAACTTCAAATGTAGGTGGCAGGCCCAATCATAATAGACCTCATTCTTCGGTTGGTGGAAATGTTCCCAATTCCAATTTAAATCCTGGAAGACCCATTCATGGCAATGGTGGAATGGGTGGCAGACCTGGCGGATATGTACCCAATAATAATGGGGTTCATGCTTCCGGCGTTCCCAATACGAATATAAATTCTGGAAATAATGGCAGACCTGGAGGATATGTACCCAATAATAGACCTCACTCTTCGAGTGGTGGTAATGTTCCCAATACAAATGCAAATCCTGGCAGACCCATTCATGGTAATGGTGGGAACAGTGGCAGACCTGGAGGCTTTGCACCCAACAACAATGGGGTTCATGCTTCGGGTGGTGTCAATGGACCCAATACAAATTTTAATCCTGGCAGACCTATTCAGGGTAATGGTGGAAACAATGGCAGACCTGGTGGTTATGTACCCCATAATAACCGACCTCACTCTTCGGCTGGTGGTAAGATCCCAAATACCAATTCAAATCCTGGAAGACCCATTACTGGGGAAGCTGGAATTGTGGTGGGTTCATCATCGAGTGTGGGTGGATTTGTAACAACTAACAATAGACCTCATTCCTCGAATGGAGGAAGAATACCGAACAGCAATTTACATCCTGGAGGTCCTATAAATAGTGGTGGCAATGGAATTGGTGGCAGGCCTGGTGGTTATGTACCCCAACATAATGGTCCTCATTCCTCGAATGGAGGTAGTGGATTACCAAACTCAAACATATATCCAGGAGGGTCATCGAATGCTGGTGGTAGTTCATCGGGAGTTGGTGGCAGACCTGGAGGATATGTGCCCTCTTCATCGACTGGAGGAAAATTACCAAATTCGGATACAAATCTAAATCCTGGAAATCAAATTCATGGTGAGGGTGGCATAATTGTGGAAATATCCTCGGGCGTAGAGGGAGCATCTGGTGCACATGCATCCAATAGTAACAGACCCTCTTCAGGGCATGGAGCTGGTGTTCCACACACAAATCTAAATCCCGGTGGTTCCATAAACTCAAATGGAAGGCCATTAAAACCTCAAAATGGCAAAAATCCCACATCCACAAATATTGGAACTGGGTCCGACATACATATTTCCATCGGTGGCCACACTGACATTACTGATCTCGACTCAGGATATGAAGGTGCAAACCCAACAATTTTGATTACATCTTCTTCGTCTAGTCATTCAGGAGCTGGAAATACGGGCATCAGTTTTGAAGATTATGTGGCCAGTCGCAAAAGGCCATCGTCATCCGTCGGAGGCACTGCATCGGGTTCATATAATCCATCCATAGGTGACAGCTCAAATGTTCATATATCAGTTGGCGCCCAACCTGGGGACTCCAATGGATCAAACGTTGATAATCAGCAATTAGACACTGAGTATGGACCACCGCCCAGCAAGGCACCAGGTTCATATGCCAGCACTTCGGGGAACACCAATAAGAAAGGAAAAGGCAATGGTTATGTTACTTTTCCAGGGTCAGCCAGTAGCTCCTCGGCTGGTCATGATAGCTCCAATGGTCAAGAATATGCAGATAATGTACAAGGATCTTCGGTGAATATTGGTAGCTCAAGTTATGGCAAAGCCAATGGTGGTAGTATAACCTTCCCCGATTCGGACACATCCAAAGAACCACAAATTAGGGAAATCTTCGATGATGACTCCAGTCAGGATTCCGTAGGATTTACGAGCGATGGAAGTGGTCTTAGTGTGACAAGTGGATTTGGTTCAAATCAACGTAAACCATATGGCGGCAGCTATGCCAGTTCATCTTCCGGATCCAAGGCTTACTCTGGAAATACTAACAAAGGATACGGCAAGACTAGCTCTGGAACCTATAACGGTTCTGGTGACTCAAGTTTTGTAACGGCCGCCAGCAGCAGTGCATCTGCTTCGGCCAGCAGCAGCAGCAGTGCCGGAGGCGCACTGGGTTATGGTGGTTCATATTCAAGTTCATATGCCAGTGCATCAGCTTCGTCGGCCGCCTATGCCAGTCGACATTAATCATTACTAATTTTTTTTTAAGGTGTTATATATGTATGTGTATATATTTTTTAGATAAATATTTTCGTTGTTGTTACTTAGGCAAATAAAATGTGTTTTGTTGGTCGAATTTTTTTGAATTTGTCTTGGCGATCGTGCTGTGCATACCCAATATGGTGTGACATTTGGTGTGTACAAATTAATTGAATTTAATATTCACAACACAATAACGAAAAAAACTGCCATTTAGCGTGGGTAAGTATGACATAATTGTCTATAGACATTTAATTCCGAAACAAAAACAATTGACCCGGCTTCGATTTCATTGGAAAAGAGGAAGTACCATTGACTGGTCGCAAATTTGAAAACATATATCCGTATTAGTTTTAGAATTGGAACTTAAGAGCACTATTAAGACAGAGGCAGAGGGAGAGAGAATACACAAAGAGTATTTTTAAGAGAATGGATGAGTGTTTTGTTTAGAAGCTGAAAGCTAAAATAAACTATAAAATTAAATCAGAATAAATAAAATTAAATCAATTAAATCAGAATTCTCTCCATTAGTAAAAAGAGTAAAATCGGGTATTCTCTAAGAATTTTAAAGGAGCAGTAGTAGTAAGTTCTTGGGTTCTAAAAAATTGTTATAAGGGACTAATAGAGATTCAGAGTTAGATTTTTTAAGGACTAACTGAGTTCTTATCTTAGACTTCTTTAAAGAGATTTTTTAAGACAACGAGAAACGGAACCACAAATTTTTAAGAGCTTGTTTTCATGGTCATAAAGAGTTATAATCGTGAACTCAAAAAGATTATTATTTAATGAACTAACAATGTTTTAAATCAATATTTTAAAAATTCTGGATTTTTTCCGGGAGAATTGTAGATGTTTATTTTTCAAAAGCTATCGGAGCTATAATTGTGGAATTTTAATTTTTTCCTTTTTAAGGATGATGTTTTAATCCGTTTTTATAACCTCCACAATAGTATGGAGGGTATCATAAGTATTAAATTTGTCATTTCGTTAGTAAAACCTCGAAATATACCTTTTAGACTCTACAAAGTATATACAGGGTGAGATAAAAAATAAACTGCAACAGCGTCAAACGCCATAACTTTTATATTTTTTTTCAATTTTATTGAGTGAAAGCAAATGTCGCAAAAAGCATAACATTTTAAAATAAGTTTAGTTTTGTTCGAATTGGTAACCTTTGGTACGAAGCGCTTGCTTGAGGTGATCGACACTTTGGTATTTTTTAGTGCCAAACTTCTTTTCCAAAATACTCCAGACACAATGGTCCAACAGATTGGTATCCAGAAATTTTGGTGGCCATTGTGCCCTGGAAATGTGGCGAGGAACCTCAGCTTTTAACCATTCTTGGGAATGTCCAAGGTCTGCGGACAAAATGTTTGCGTGCCCAAGGCTTTAATACACCCTTCAGAATATTTTCGCGATAATATTCGGCATTTATTCTAATGCCACGGTCGATTAATACGAGCAGAGAGCAACCATCGGCTGTTATGGCGGTCCACACCATTCCCCGCGGCCGGCGCTTGAGTTCTGGTGGACAACCGAAGGTGCACATTTGGCAGCTGACCTCTTTGGCAAGTAACCACGATCATTTTCCTTGTTTACAAATTGCTGGACAACGAATGTTTTCTCACCGGAGAAAACCAAATTCGGCAGTTCTTTTGAGTCTATTTACTTTCTGTTGCGGTGTAATTTCTTTGCTTTTTTTGCAGTATCACGGTAACGAGCGATGGTACGAGACATAAAATATTTATTTACATTTAAATGCTGGAGCGCTTTGGGCTTTTCCAGCCAAATATAAAGAAATCAAACTATCACGCTATCACACTTGAATTCCATCACGAATAACTCTTTTTTCGAAAATTCTCTCCAAAATGCTTATGTACGCTTGTAAACAATATAATGAGCTGTCACTGGAATAATTTTAGCAGCTGTCGCACTAGTGGCTTAGAAATGACTGCAGTCTTAATTTTGTTGTAGGTTTTTTCTTCTCACCCTGTATATGCATAACAGAGCAGCAAAATAACTAACTGGCTGACTACTCTAGAATCGCCGTCCAGACGAAACGGCTGAAGCTAGAATCTTGAAATTTTGCACGACGGCCAGTCTTGGGGCGCATGCGTATGATAAGGTTGGATTTTTAGAAATTCGTATTAAAAGGATACGAAAAGTACTAAAATATATTGAACTAGATGTCTGAAATTTCGAGTGAGCGTCACTGATGCAGGTACCAAAGGGTTTTGGTACTAAACTTCTTAACTGATGCCATTTTGTATTATGAAAACGTTAAAAGCTTGAAATTTGATTTGAGAATCAAGTTTAAGTTTGATATATGTAAGTGGATTTGGAAATGTGTACTAAGTGTGCGAACTGTACTAAATTTGGAAGAATTTGCTTCAGGGTGAGTGAATAAAACTGGGATTTTAAAATGGTGTATTAAGGTGATTAAGAGGTTGATTTGGAAATGGATACACCAAGTGCGCGAAAAATAGTAAATGGTACTGTATTTCGTAAAATTTGGTATTGGGAGAACACGTAGTGCTTGAAATCTAAAATTTTGTTGTTGGTATTGCTGTTATGTGTAGCCTGGACACATGGAGGTTGTAGAAATGTGTACTATAATTGTACGAAGAGGACTGAATGGTACTATGCTTGGTATTGGGTGATCGGATAGAGATAAAATTCTGAAATTTGATATTTGGATTACTGATACCATATCTGGGAGAATTACTGATACCAAGGGAGAAGACATAGAGATAAATTTCAGAAATTCGATATTAGGGTCATTTTTGGTTTCTAGAGTTTACATATGAAGACGTTGAAATAGTTTTGGACAGAAAAAAGGAAATATTTGAATAATATAAAGAACGCTTAATGTCTGAAAATTTAATACAATGTATGAAGTTTTGATAAAAACATTTTGGTAATCTGACTAACACGAACTGCTAGAACGAATCTAAAAATTTAAGCTGGATTTTTCGCTGACGAGTACCGGCCACTTGCTAGTCTCATATAAAACCTGTCGTGTTCCAGACTTATGCCCAGGAATAGGCATGGAAAATATTAATGCTAGGAGCAAACATCAAAATGAGCATCAGGATTATTTCTAAACTTTTCTATATCAAAACCGATCAGAAATCTTAATTGAAATCGTCGTTTGGTGGTAATAAAGAAGGTGGTAATGTTTACCAGTGATTAGGACAGGGAAAACCATGGTTTCGGATTTGTTGTAGTCTTGTAGGCGCGGTTATAAAAAAAGCGAGAAGAATTTTATTTTTTTTGCTTCTCTTCTATAAAGCTTATTGATATCGTAACTTAGTTATAAATGTTTCTGTCATAGGAGTTATTTTGAAATAACTCCTGGGGAGGATATCCCGAGTCAAAAATCAAGATACTAATGAGGATTTTTTTTTAATTTACTATAAATTAATAATTTATTTGCAAAACCAACATTCAATACTGGATTTGTGCATTTAATGTCTATTTTCGTCGAATAAACTTATTTTATGCGAACTTTTAACTTTCAGTTCTTTTTAAACAATACGAAAAATACTTGAAGTCAACTTAAGGGCAACATCTGTAAAATCTTCCCACTAGGTTACTAAACTTTACCGAGTGCAGTTAACAGTTCAATAAACAGTCAAAAGGAAGCAGCTTAACAACTTTGATGTTGGTTAAACAAACTAAAAGGAAATGTTTGGTAAAAACGAGAGTTTACAAGTGTAAACTTAATGTTTTGCAAAATCCGACAAAGACAGTAGCGTAGATGCACATAATTAACAAGTAAGCAAAGGCTATAGTCGTGCGGGGCCGACTACGTTATACCCTTTCGCTTTTGAAATTAAGATTTTGACTAGGGACATTTGCCCAACATTTATGCACTCCGTCGGGCTGTTAGTTGTTGTAGTCCATTTTACAGCTAAATATAATCCAATGGTCATCCAAAATGCTAGAATTCTTGCCTGTCCTTAACTCTCTTCACAGGCGTGTCGATTGGCTTCAATTGTGTTATCGGAAAAACTTTTCTGTTTTTGGTTAATTTGAACCCCTAAATATTTTCCAATCATCTCCAAAAGCAAGAAGCCCCTCTGTATCTCCAAATTTAGACTCATTTGTATGATTTGCTTGTCTACGATATTTGGCTATATTCGTCAACGAAATCAGCATAAAAAGCCAGAAGTTCGCCTTTTGTGTATTTCGGATATCGCCTGTAAGTAATGCTGGTATCTTTTCACACAAAATTAGTGGTCTATTCTACCCGCTGTCCTAAACTCTAACTTTATGCGAGATTTCGTGTATTTTGGTTTCTATTTGTGACCTTTATAACGGCTGCAAAATCAGGAAAATTTTTAGTTGTTGATCCATTTCAACCCCCTAATATAATGCGGACATCTTTGAAAACAATAGGCCTAGCCCTTCTGAGCCCAACCCTACCCTTGTGAAATTTTCGTGAGAGTCAGACGATATTTGCAATATTTATATAATATCCCCAACTTGTGTTGTATGGTAAAAAAATATAACAAAATATTAAAAGTCAAACTGAAAAAATCGCATGCGATAAAAAAAATATAAAAAAATGTCACAAAATACTACAAAATCTATATTAACATCATTATTGGCATATTTTTCTGCGATTTTTTTAGATTTTTTACTTTTATGTCAAGAGGGCATTCTGAATTGACAAAATTTGTCAAAATCGGTCCAGCCATTCTTGAGATATAAGCATTCTAACTAACATACCCTTTCTTTGTATATACACATTGTATATATTTCGCTATGTATAACCGATATAATTGCTATCGGCATCTACATAACGGTCAGAATTGACCTGTTCATCTATTTGTGAATTCGTCGGATTAAAAATATTCGCGGTTTAATGGAAAATTTGACTTTTATTTAAGACAAATGTTGTGGCCTATTTCACCCACTAAATATTACCCGATGACCATCAAAATTGTAAAGCTTCTGCCCAGACCTAAGCTCTAGCCCCATGCTAACTTCCGCTTTGATTGGTCTATAATAGCGACCTGTAGAGCAACTGCAAAATCAGGTTTTTTTTTCAGATTTTGGTCCAACCCATAAATATTATGCGATCATCTCCAA